GACTCTACCATAATCAGATATCCACTACCACTGGGACCTAACTCTGAAAGTTTAACCTCTACACACACATCAGAACCTAGCACTCCGTTTTCTCCACCAATTTATCAGTTAGATACACCAAATGTTGCCACTCCCATCCAAACAACTCAAGATATCCATCACTCAGCATCCTAGTCACTTTAATTCCTGTTAGTAGCTCTGAAAACATACAAGATACAGGAAGAAATAATATGCAATATGAAGGAGTGGAAGAATTGGGTGATGCTGTTTTTATTATGAGGGAAACAAAAGGAAGAACAGAAATTAGAGAAAATGCTCACTCTGAAGCTGATTCACTGTAGACAGGACATCCCATGATGACAAGGGAAAAACTTATAATATTCAAACCCTAAGGTTTACTCAGCTGAAATTTCAGAACGAAACACTGTCAGGGAAGCTTTATCTAATAATAACTAGAGAAGAGCAATGCAGGCAAAGTTTAAGGCACTACAAAGAAATCAGACCTAGGAACTGGTTCCTAGAGAAAAGGCCACCAAAGTGATAAGTTGTAAATGGATCTTCAAAGTGAAATATGACACAAGGGAAACATAGAAAGGTATAAAGCAAGGCTGGTTGCTCAGGGTTTCTTGCAGACATATGGAGTTGATTTCAAGGAGACTTTTAGTCCAGTGATTAAGGCATCAACCATAAAGATCATTCTAACTTTGGCAGTGACAAATGACTGGGATATCAGACAAATCGATGTAAATAATGCTTTCCTCAATGGTAAGCTCAATAAAGAAGTATATATGTCTCAGCCGGAAGGATTTGTTGACAGCAGTTTTCCTGATTTTGTGTGTAAATTAAGGAGGGCACTCTATGGACTGAAACAAGCTCTAAGAGCTTGGAATGATGAGCTGAAAGGGACATTAATTAAATGGGGGAATGACTCAATCTAAAGCTGGTAATTCTCTCTACTATCAGTCGGAAGAAAATAGCACTATCATTATTCTTATATATGTTGATGATATCATTGTTACAAGCAGTAACAAACAACAATTGCAGGACTTCATCGATAAATTAAATGAGAAGTTTTCACTTAAAGACATGGGGAGCCTAAAGAAGTTCCTGGGGATGGAAGTAAAAAAAGATGAAGCTGGGTTGTTATTCTCACAAAACAAGTATGCACTGGACATCATAAAAAGGTTTGGCTTCAGCAATCTAAATCTAGTAACAACTTCTATGGTGTCTGGAAAACTAGTCTCAAAGGAGGAATGTAGAGAGTTAAGCAACCCAACTCTCTTCGGAAGCTCAGTTGGTGCTCTGCTGTACTTAGTTCATTCTAGGCCAGATCTGTCATTCGCTGTTAATAGACTAAGTCAGTTTCTGCAGAAACCAACAGACATACATTGGAATTTGCTAAAAAAGGTCTTCAGATATATTAAGGAAATTGCAGACTTTGGACTTAGAATACAGAAAAGAGGTGATCTCAAACTGACTGCATTTTGCGATACTGACTAGGCTGCTTGCCCAGACGATAGGCGATCAATAGTAGGTTACTATGTATATCTGGGAGGAAACTTGATATCATGGAGTGCAAATAAGCAACACGTTATAGCCCGTTCAAGTACAGAAGCCGAATATAGAGCCTTGGTACATGTAACTTCTGAAATTTGCTGGACACAGGCTCTACTCAGTGAACTCAAAATTCATTCTAAAACAGCTCATGTTGTGTGGTGCGACAACCTAGGAGCTAAAGCATTGGCATTGAATCCAGTTTTTCATGCCAGGACTAAACATATTAAGTTGGACATACATTTTGTGAGAGGTAAGGTCACTAATAAAGAACTAGAGATTGAATATCTACCTTCCACAGATCAAATTGCTGACATATTTACAAAACCACTGCCTTCATCCAGGTTTCTTTCTATGCGAGACAAGGTAGGAGTGAGATCCACCCACTCCACCTTGAAGGGAGAGATAAACTTGAAACTGAAGGGTTGTATTCATCAATTCATAACTTGGAGGACGACTTTAATAAGAACTCAAAGTTTGAGAAAATGTAAGAAGGTGAAAAACACAACTTATCTTTTGTGCAACTGACTGTTCTTTTTCCTTGCTCTCTGGTGTAACTTATTTTCTAATTCCTTCAGTTAGGCATTCCAGCATTTTAGGGATTTCCCATTTTGGATAATGGATTTTGAGCGATCAGGTTGTACAATACGTTTTGCATACTTTGCATTGTTATATTCATATATTGTATGTATAGGTCATTGGTTATTTATAGACTAATGGATTGCAATAATTGTTTTTTGACAGGTAGATAAATAGAGATTCTTGATTGTTCATCAGCAAGCCTATCTTCTCGATTTATTCTATTTGCTGGAATATATAGTCCACGGTGAAAGAATATATTTGAGCTCATCAAGAAAATAGTAGTAACTCAAGGCCTGAAAGGCTTTTTGAAGGGAAACTTTGTTAACATTCTACGCACAGCACCTTTTTAGGCAAATCAATTTTTGCGCTTATGATACATATAGAAAGAAGCTTCTCAAATTAGCTGGGAATGAAGAAGCCATGAATTTTGAGAGGTTTATTGTCGGTGCTACAGCTAGCATTACAGCTACTGTGCTCTGCTTTAGGCCCGGTTTTAGGCCGAGGCAAGTGAGGCCTGCGCCTCAAGCCCAAAATAGGGAGGGCCTCAGATTTTTTGAAAACAAAAACAAAAACAAAAACAAAACTTTTTTCTATTTTATAAGTAAAAAAATAAGCCCTAAATTCTATCATTTTGTTTCTTCTCTTAATTCTCTAAGCAACACCATGAGATTTGTTCCGAAAGATTTTCAAGGTTTTCTTAACTAAGTTGATTTGATGGTTGCAATGAAATCTTAGATTAAATATTTTAATTTTATTTCTAAAATATAAATAAGAGCGGGAAATCTCAAAGTTTAGGTTGAGGCCTAAAATCACTATTACATTGGAAAAATTTTACACTTCAAATCTCTTTAAATTATTTATCCTGAATTTGAAAATATTTTTCTATTTTTTTCTTGGATTTTTTCATTGTTTTTCTCTAACTCATATTTCTTTCATTTTTTGGTGATTATTATTAATCTAATTTGATTTCAAATTTTTTTTGTTGTATCTAAATATTTGAATTTTTGTTATTATTTACCTTCTATAATTTGAGATTTTGAAATATATTCCTAAGTATTTTGTTGAATTTTTTTGTATTGATTTTCTCTACCTTCATATTTCTTTCGTTTTTGGTGATTTTTCCCACACAGTGTCTAGTAGTAACTCTGGAGCTTTTCGTCATGTAGTTCAAGCTAAAGGTTTCTTTTCTCTTTACAAAGGTCTACTGTCACCTATCTTGAGTATGACACGCTCAGATATTTTGAAATCGGCTTATTTGTAGTTATGTAAATGAGCCGAGCCTGAGCTTTTTTTTTGGGTTCGGCTCAGCTCGTTGACATAACTACGTCAAGTCTTGTGTACCAAACATGCTCTATATGAAGTCTTCCTTTGGCTTCTGATTTTAATTTTTAGATAGAGTTTTCTCAATTTCACGTGCAATCAGTTCTTTAAGGTGGAATGAATCACGACAATTTCTTACAGTTCATAGTAAAGTACTAAAGTAGAGGAAATTCCCCAGAAGCATCAGAGGAATTAGATTCTTCCACATGGCGCAGTTAATATACTCTTCAGAATCAGCATCCTTCAGCTGTATTTGTTGCACAATTTTTTGGATCATTTTCTGTCATAAAATGAAATCTTGATTTACTTTCTTATTGCATTAATGCTCTATGCAATACAATTTCTCATTTGTCTGAAAAGAGGACCATTTCTACAACGTATGGAGATACTACCATCCCACTGAAGTATTTTTCTCTTAAAAGAGAGAACAAAATTGTTTAGAATAATATTATTCATCTTAGCAATATCTAACATCAATTTAGAAGTCAGCATATATAAGGTTCTATTAATAAATTTAGATAGTAAAATATTTTATTCTCTTCAACAATGTCCTCTATTTTGATTTTCTTCATTTCGTATTTTGCAAGAAACATTTATCGTCTATTATCTAACATATTTTTGTCTGTTAATGATTAGTTAATTCAAATATAATTTGAATAATATAAGTACTAGATTATTGGAATATGTAGCTTATTAATAAAGATTAATTAATTATTATTGTTATATCTATAAATTAGGTGGCATACGCATGATGGAGGGGTTCGACATATGCCACTTCGACATCGATTATTATTAGGTTCTGAATTCTCATGTTCAAAACGAAATTTCTTTCTAAACAAATAAAGTGTCAAAGTGTCAAGATAAATAAGGTTCAAATGTCGTTAACAACTTTTAAAATGTCGAGAACGTGTTAAATGTTAATAATAACAACTATTATACACAACTTATCAACAAAAACAAGATTTCAAAGAAAATTACCTTCTACCAGAATTGTGGGAAAGCCTATCAATTGCAAATTTGGATGAAATTAAATTTTTCGAAATGAAATTATATGATTTTCTTATGAATTTGAAACATATAATTATTTTTTAGTGTTGATAACTTTTCTACTTCATCTTTTTCCAAAATTTTTTATCAATACCTAATAGATAATAAAAGCAAATGAATCTATTAAGTATTAACTAGCATTAATGTAACTTCTTATGGAAGCATTTATTCTTCTCAAAATTCGTGATAAATTAAAAAAAAATTACTTCATTTTTCATCGAGAATATAATAGATAACTTTAATATCAAATTTGACTATTTTTACAAGAGTTATCAAAATTAAACAATTTTCAATTCCCAAGACTCATTTTGTAAATTCAACGTGAAATTTTTTGGTTGAAAAATCGGATGAAACAAATAAAAAACGGTCATCGATAACTGCTGAATTATGCGTGGAACTCCGCCACTCACGTTTCGATAATCCCAAGGGTAGCTAAATTAGTTTTCGCAGTGCCGCCTCCTCCGCCGCCACGACCACGACCACCCCCACCACCAGAGATGGCGGCATCGGACGACGGAGGAGCAGAAGCCGCGGCGAATGACTGCCCGTGTTCGTGCGGCTTGAAAAAGGAGGACCACCAGTCGAACTGCTCGCAATGCCGGCGGCGATCGTTGAACTCGAACTTGCCGTCTTCGTCGTCTTCGTGCTCTTTGCTGAGCTTTGAGTCATATCCTGTTCAGGATTATGATAAGCTGTGGAGAGTGTATACAGCGTCCGTCAAAGGCTTCTCCATCGGCGCAGGCCTCAAAGGCGGTCTCGCACTCTTCTCTTTCCTCTCTCGCCTCCGCCGCAGGCGATCCCTTCCCTCCTCCAAGTATGTGTTTATGAATCCTGTTTACATTTCTTTATTTTGTATTGTTTCAGATCTAAATCAATTCACACTGGGGCATGTCTATGCACACATATTGCTTGTGGTGCACTTACTTTCGTTTTCCTGCAATTAGTTCTAGACTAAAGGTTCAATTCTTGTTTCCAAAGCTATATTTTATACAATTTACTAATTAGCTTAGCTTTAGTGGAACAGTAAGGCTGTATTTGGCGCCATAAGCTGGAAGTCGTTGATTTGGAATCAAAAATATGAAAATTTTACGACATTAATTACCAAAACCCCATTTGATGCTGCCAATATGACAGAAGGGGATTTTAAATGTTCTTTTTCTTTTGATATAAGGGATATTGCTACTGGAATAAGTTTTTACAAATGGAAGCAGCAATGTTATTGCGCTATTGTGCATCTGGACTCTGTATTAGTCTATGTTTGACTCATGTTTATAAACAGTTGATAAACACTCAAGCCACTTTTTATTTACACATTTCGAGGAGGGATCCACAACCACTACCTAATTTTTTACTTTCTATGTAAATCATTTATAAACACTTACCAAACATGCTCTTAGTGCTCTTGTATATGTTGCAGTATTTGGTAATTTTACATATGGTTAATTTATTTTACAATAGTAATTTATGTCAATTTTCTTTTTCTTTTTCTTTTTGCTTAGGAAAGTGGAAATGGCGTCAACTAGTGAAGATGTGATTTTGGCATTGAAAGAGACCTTGAGATATGGGCTATTCCTTGGTGCATTTGCAGGGACATTTGTATCAGTGGATGAAATTATAGCTGCTTTGGGAGGTCACCGTAGGCATGATCTTTACCCCTCGGTTTTCTCTTTAGTTTTTTTTTTTATCTATTGTTTTGTTTTTCCTTTTTATTTTGTGAATCAGCATTTGGCCAGATTTGCACATTTTTGTTAGATATTTCTTTTGTTACTTGTGTTAAAGTTGTGTATTTTGATTCCATAAATTGGTGTGGTTGCTGAAGTTTTTTAAATTTTAGGACTGCCAAATGGAGGTCTTTGCTGGCCGGGGCCATAGCAGGGCCATCTATGCTGCTTACTGGGTTAAATACACAGCACACAAGCTTAGCGATTTACATTCTCATGCGTGCCACTGTATTGGCATCACGATGTGGGATAAAAAGCAAGCGATTTGGGAGAATTTGTAAGCCTCTTACTTGGGCTTATGGAGATATTTTCCTTATGTGTCTCTCATCTTCGCAGATTTTGTAAGTGACTTATTTCTCTGCTTAAAGTTTTAATGTTTTAAGTTCAATCTTTGAGAAGTTTCCTTTCTTATTATTGTTTTTATTTATATCTGCAATTTAATGTGCCCCTGTTTGGGCTCCATTAAACTATGGTTTTGGGAAAAAATGTATTTTGGAGTAATATATATTTGGAGTAATATATATTTGGGTTTACGTGTAATATTATTTTATTGGAGAATGTGTAGTTGAAAATGAGTTTTCAAAAAAATGTATTTTTGGTTTAATGGAGCCCAAACAGGGGCTGTATTTCTTAATCACTGTGGATCTGTATCTTGGCAGGGTATAGTTGTCATTACCTTTTTCCAGATAAGTACTAGAGGTCTCCTGGATAAAAAAGTTAAAAGACCTATATCAGAACTTTGTCTCAGGCTAAACACGATTAAGTTGCTTAATTGATGGAGTTGATTGAGGTTGTTTGTCAATGAGAAATGCTCTTTTTGGAGAGTAACAGACATGAGAAAATGTTTGCCCTTAAAAAAAAATCCTTGAATTTATACTTCATAAATTGAGAGAAACATCAAAATGAATCATGACCAATAGAAATTTATTCTGTGTTCCTTATGAAATCATACAAAAATGCTAAATAATATAAAACATCCTTATGGAAACTGATGTCCAAGACTAGAATAAATTATGCAAGTTTCACTCTCTCCAAAATTCATCTCTTACTTCTTCATGCACTGTGCCAACTGCCAAGATTATTTCTTGAAACATTTGAATAAGGTTGTTGGTATGTAAAATTTGCACACTTGCTCAAGAAGTTCTTCCATTTATTTTCTGGTGACGTGCTCGTGAAGTTTGTAAGTATTACTAGAAAATGTTAAAGCTTGAGATTATATTTTATAATGATGAATATGCGGTAGAAACACAGAGATATCTAAGATGAAATTGCCCCATATGTTCATCTCCTCTGTATCTGTGGAAAGACAAACCCAGTTTTTCGGATAAAGAAGTTCTCAAGTGTAATAAGATTGCAGTGTTATATACCATATAACCATTTCTAACTTAAAATTTTGAAGTGAAGGCGAAATATTGTGTACATTAAGTCATAGTATGTATTCCAATAACAATAAATTGACAAGCACAAGCAATTCACGCATCATTTCTCGCAAAATCTTGGTATAGTTACAATCCCGAGGGGGTGGGGGTATAATCAATGTGCATGGAAGTGGACGTTTAAGTAGCAAATAGTAGACCAGAAGGTCTGCTTGATCACTGCTGTGAACTATCAAAAGAGTACAATATATTCCCTTTTCTTCTCCTCTTATGACTTGCGTCTCAAAAACTTTTTTTTTTCCTAATAAATGTCTTAAAAACAAGAATGTAACCAGCTCAAAATTCTTCACTCGATATTTTTAGAAGACCCGTTATAGATTTTTTTTCATGTATATATCCTCCTATAAAGATAGTCTCATTTCTTACTGAAGTACCTTTCAAAGTAGAATATTGTGTTTTTCAGGTCTGCTTACATATTGAAGCAAGATAGTCTGCCTCCATCTTATAAGTCATTTCTTAATAAACATGGAGCAAAGGATTCTGTCATCCTGCAAGGTGTGCGAGAGATTACATGTGGCAAGCCTATAAAAAATTTGGCGGCAATAGAGAAATATTACAAGTCCATTGGCGTTGACGTTAAGCTAGATGCACAAATGAAAATCCCTTGCTCGGTATGTAGAGCACAACATAATATTTTTCTTACATATAATATAAAATTTCTGCAATGATATCTGATCTATTTCTTTATAATCTATGATTATCAGGTTCTTATTAATTTTCAGAACTTCGTGTTTCAGATGAGTAATAATTCGGAGGCTTTATGGACAGTAGTCAATTGCCTGAACATAATCTGATTCTCTTCCCATTTTCTCAAGTAAATCTGACAATGTTTTCTTGGATTAACGGAGTCATCTGGCCCGATTTTGAATAATTTTTGATGCTTGAAAGTTTGCTCTTTATTGCAAGTTGATATGATGATTATGCACATTGTCTGCAAATTTCTCAATATTGCTCCCTCCAGCCCACTGACACTTTCTTTCTTGGACGTTCCAAAACACAAGCCTTGCTTCAAAAAGTTGAAAGGCATTGCTTTCGCAATGTATGCATTATACTCTTTTCTAGGACTACAAGTGACACGATGTCGAGGGTCCAGTTTCCATGTCCCTCGTATCACCATCCTAAACCCTCTATCAAAGCTTTTCAGTTGCACCCTACGGAACAGGTCCCACACACCAAAATTCAAATCTATAAGTGGAAATTGATTTATTAAAACAGAATGTGAAAATCCATTTCAAAACTGTTCTAAAATAGAGAATAAATGGTTCCAGATTAGCGAGCACTTTACCATACACATTATGACTGTCAGAAGATGACATGTTCTAGGTCTTGTTTAACTTAGATGACCTTCAGCGGCCAAGACAATCAGGAATTTTCACAGTTGAAGGGCCTGCAGCCGTTGAATGCTATATGTATCATTTAACAACCGTTGACTGATCAATTAGTTTATTTACTCAAAATTTTTAACATTATGAGCGTTTTTGAACTATTGCTGCTTATAAAGAAATGAAAATGAAGAAAAGAATGGAGTTATTCTGGATTGAGTGTTAGGTGTTGGTGATTGATTGTGAGAGCTTGTCTGATCGCTTGGATTTGCTATAAATTGGATTAAGGTTTTCAAGAGTTTTGATTTCTATCTTGCATATTCTGAGGAGATATTTTAGGTTTGAATACCGGGGATACTTGATTGGATTGCATATGGTATTTGAGAGAATAGGAATTTGAAGCTTCGTGATTAGAAATGGATAGTAGAATTGAAATAATTAAAGGCAGATTCAGGAAAAAGGAATAAAAGAATAGCGTGTTCCACTGTTTATAACAATGAGGACTTCCAAAAAGTGTATAATCATAGGATAAATTGAGTCATACTCCTGTCTTTTTGTTTCTGCTGCTTCATATATAACGATGTGAGATTGTAATCCAATTCAGATTACTTTGTTTTTGCATGTTTCTGTGCTGAATACCAGTTTTCGCTGCAAGATTGCTGATAGTTAAGCGTCATATAGTGCTTTCTATGTTTTTGCAGATTATACATGGGAATCAAGCATGTGGGACACATTTTCTTCTATTTCTTCTTCAAGCGTATAAAAGAGCATTACCAGTTTATCTTCCAGTCTATCTAATTCCTGCACTGATAGTACATCGCCAAGGTCTCCTGAAAAGGTAATTTATATTGTTGTTTATCTCTTGATACATCCAATATTTTCTCCTTTTCTGTTGCTTTTGGATATGTGGTAGTAACTTATACCTAATATGTTGTGAAGATTCAGTCTGCAAGGAGAAAACATTTTACTATGAATGGCTACTCATTGTAGGTTTGAAGCATAGAAATTTTACATTCTTTCAATTTTCCAGTTATAATCAACTAGGTAGATTGTTAATCCTCTGGTTTTGCTTAAGTGTCAGAATATGATGCTACAGCGTGTAATATGATTACTTAGAATGAGTCCATATAAGGTTGCACTACCTCCCAATTCATTAATGTCCTTCAGCTTTCTAGAATTCCCAAAATTAAGAATGTTGACTAAAATTGTAGAGAATGCCAAGGAAATGATTGTCCGGGTGGTATCATCAATGTTGCAAATCTCAATAGCTTCAGACTTCAGAGTATCCATAACATTTGTAGCCAATTGTGTACTTGGTAAAGTTGATAAATTGAGTGTTATACAGGAGCCGGGGGATTTAATGGTTTGACTTATTAGCTTCCAAAATTCTTGGCCTTTTCAATATTTACATATATCTTTTAGACAATCATGTATATAAGCCAATTGCTCTTCTAAAAAGTACTTTGTGTGAAACAAGAAGTTAAATTAAAATAATGGTTATTTGCGGAGGAAAATGGATATTCTTGCAGTTGGTTATGAAGTGGCATACCAAAAAGAGACCACTTTAAGCTGCTAGGTTTCTTTAAGAGTGTAGATGAGGAAATGAAAGTGATGCTTATCTGTGTTGCTCGGACTCTCCAAAAATGGATAAGCATCCGTGTCGACACAACATGATACGAAGACTGACACGGGATATGGATCGATTCATTTGTTTTACACTCGGACAAGGCAGCAAAAGGGAGAAGATGGCGGAAGGTGAGTCTTGCTTCTCTAGCTTTGCGGCTGGCGGCAGAAATATTTGCACAAAGAGAGAGAGAGAGAGTTGGGGAAAACAACGGGTTTTGGAGATGTGTTAAATGGGCTCTTGAGAAGTCCAATGGATAGAGTTAACGAGAGTGTTAAATGGGCTCTTGTGAAGTCCAGTGGATGGAGTTAATGAGTTTATTTTTGTATTTAATCTAATTTGAATTTATTTTTGTATAAATTTTTTATTTCTTATATTTTATCTTTGTAAACATTTTATGTTGTAATTAAAATGATTTAGTATTATATCTTTTTTTATTAAATTTAAATTTATTTCTATAATTGTTTTTAAATAATATGTAAGAGATCGAAATTGATTTTTTCTTTAATTTTTTTGAAAAGAATTTATTTTGACTTTAAATTTAAATTGATTTCAAATTATAATCCAATTGTTTAAATTAATTTTATAGAAGGAGTTGATAAACAAAATAAACAACGAGTTCATTTTTTAACAACCAATATCAGTTAAGTTAATTTGTGTACAAGTTAATTTAATATTGTGGTTATTTGCTTTAATTGAACCATTTTTCTCTTCGTTATTTTGGCATTGTTCTATCATTTAAAAAAAAAAAAATTGTAAGAAGTATTCCCGTACCCGTATTCAAAATTCGGACCCTTTTTAGCCGTATCTCCATATCTTAATTTTTATAATGAGGATCCGACTCCTAAATATGTACCCGTATCAAATAACCGCACCCTAGTCTCAGTATTATAGATGCTTATATCTTGGATCTTTGATGTTGGGTTGTTTGTCCTTGTCACTATGGTTCCTCTCTCATTTTACTTTCTACTCTTCTTTGTGGTGTGTTGTACCCGATTTTGATTCAACAACTTCAGATACACATTAACTGGTGTAAATTTGTTACATCTTCAACCTCAGTTTAATGGTGCATTGCTAAAGTTCTTTTAATTTCTTGAAGATAGCTAAAATAGAATTTCATGATGAATGAATCTGACACAAGACCCGAACAATGGATATAAGAGAAAATTGGAATATTGATGTTATTGCTAATTCATTGTCTTGCCAATTACCAATCTGCTCAAACAGATAACTAGAATTATGTTAGAATCCTTTTGTGAGAAATTAAATTACTGTTTATAAAATTCATATGTACGGTGTAAATGCAAAGTCATACATATGATCAATTGCAGAACTATATAAATGAAATCTTACCCTCTCAGTTGATTACTTCAAGTTTTAGATGTTCACAAAATCAATTAATCTATTTCTGCTTCATTTATTCTGAAGTTCTCTTTTCTGGGGTAAGTAGATTATTTTGCTGATGCACGCTAATCTACTTTGTATATTGACTTGGTAATTATTAACACATTTTCTTGTCTTGTTAGTATATTGACTTGGTAATTGTTACACACTTTCTTGTCTTGTTACTTGTCACTTCTTAAATTTATACCCTCATAATCTTATAGGCACTCATCTAACTGTTCTTGATACTGTTGTTTCTGCAATACTGTCCTTTATATATTTTTTTTAAACCTTATTCAGGTCTCACACAATCTTATGGAAAGGTCTTTTTGGTACTGCAAGATCAAGCTTGTTTCTGTCGATGTATTGTTCATCTGCATGGTAAGCAACTGATTTTACAGATTGTGCATCTTGTACCATTGATCTAAGATTGGAGAATCTTTTGATCTTTATTTTTCTCTTCTACCATGGAGCATATTAACCCATACCCTTAAGCTAAATCCAAGCTTGGGAGCTCGAAAAACCTGTGCTAGTTTGGAACTATTTTTAAAGCTTACCCACACTTTCACATGGGTATTCCTATGTACATTCATGTGAATTTGAATGTTAAAATGGCTTCCATACATCTCATGGTATGTCATCATGATTCCCATGTGAAAGAACACATGTAAAAATAGATTTTATGATTTAAAAGAAAAGTGAGTGGTGATTAGTAAAACTATTATCTAATAGTAATAGAACAAAAAATCTTTTATTTTCATTTGGGAAATTAGGTTATTGGAACCACACTGCTACCATTGTACTTGTGGTTACTATTACTGTTTTTGCACGAGATTGTTGATTGTTTTTTTATTCATGCTGCTTAGGATATGGACATGCTTCCTGTTTAGGATTTTCAAGAAATGCAACATTCCTATGGTGGCAATGGGAACGGTAAACGGAGTCGCCCTTTTTATTTTCCATTAATAACTATTAAACTGATTCTACATAAACACATCTCTCATGCACACGCATATTTTTATTTACACTTGCAACTATGCTCTTGAACAGTTTCCAACTGGTCTAGCCTTGGCCATTGAGAAGAAGAGTAGAAGGATAGAGATATCATTATACTGCCTTGCTCGAGCTATTGAAAGCTTCTTCACATGCATGGTTGATGTAGGATACTTACCTCAGTCGAAAAACTTGAAGAGGGCTGATGTTGTGGTCTTTAGCATTTCAACTGCAATTATTATGCACTGTTATGCTATAGAGAGGGATGTCTTTCGATCAAAATACTTGAATGTTCTTGATTGGGTTTTCGGCGTGCCTCTTCCCCCATATGAAACAACCCCACGTAAGAGGACATGATAAATTATTGCATGGTTTTGAGTTTCGAAGGCGAGGCAGGAATTTAGTTGTTAATTTCCCCAACTAATGAGGTGGAATAATCTCCCAAGTCAATATTGCAAGAAGTTGGAAGAACTTGTATATTTGGCTATGGTAGAAATACTTCACCACTTCCCATATATTTGGACAAGGTTTGCACAGTGCAAAAGAAAAAGAATAGGGCCATATACTTATTTTTCTCGTGGGAGGTTGATTTTGAAAAGATTGCAAACAAGATTTGTTTCTTTTTAATTTTTTTATTATAGACACAAAACTGTGATATTTCATTTGTTTTTTAAGTGGTAGCCAAATGACAATAGTTCATTCGTACTTTGTATTTCTATACTTTTTGGCACAATTGCTTACAGTTTTGTGATCAATACAGATTTTTAAGGAAAATGCAACCCGACTTTTAAAGCTCGAGTTCTACAAAGCGTACATGAACATATGATGACATCGATTTCTTCAATGTTTTATACAAACTGTAATGCAACTCTTGATCATAACAAAAAGGATCATGAAGTCTATTTTCAGAGCCATTAATTTAAAATTTAATAAAAGAAAACTACCTAAAAAAGGCCAACGTAATTATAAAACATCTCCAAGAAGTTTTGCTACTCAAACAATGTTTTTGGACAAGGGTTCAGATTTGTCACATATGGTTTATGGCCGAACATTAATGAACTCCAACAACAAGAGTAAATAAGAGAGTGATCACGAGCCAACTGAATATTACACGTCCCTGGTGGGGCGCAAACAAGCCATAAGAAAAGCCACTTGAGACCCTAAACATCAACCATAAGACAAAGTCCCCACTTAGAAGAGAAATTCAGACCTCATCTTCATGAAGCAACATATTTGGAATCCCCTTGCTAACAGGAAACTTACGACCAGTCTCAGGACAAACTAACGCGCCCTCCTCAAGATGAAGCTCAACGAGAGCATGATGGAACTTGCGAAGGAACTCATCAGAGTCGAGCATTGAGGATTCAGTGTTCTCGGGAAGCTCAGTGTAGCCCATGGTTCTGGAGGCCTCAACCAGGGCTTTCCATTCAATCTTTGGAAACATGTTCCTTAGGAAGTCTTCATTGAAGTCCACCTGCTTCTCCACTACTTTCTCAACCTCAATCAGCAGAGGGAAGCCATTTGTTACACCTTTTATGTTTGATGATAACATATTGTGGGTTAAAAGCCTCATTGTTGGTTTTGTTCTTAAATTTGTCAAATTTAACACCTTGGAGACACCTTTATATGGGTTGTAGTCCTGTAGAGATCAAATCAATGCAGTAGCAGTTTCAGTGATGTAAAAGACAAATCCAATTTACTCTATTTTTCCATTCAAAAGTTAACATGTATTATAGCAAAACTAAAAAAAGAAATTACACCTCAATATACAAGAACAGCAGATTATTGCTCGTGTTCCACTATCTCGTTACTCGGAAAACACTTTATTTTGTTCTTGATCAGGAAATTAGATGAGAATTTTTCAAGTGTTGGTAGAGATATCACGATCCAAATGCTAAGCCAAAAAGCTTAGTCTGAAGCTCTCTTGTTGGACATAGACAACTAAACACGAGATATCCAAATTGAAGCAGAATATCCTAGAAAGTACCAAGTCTAAAACAATGAATTCAACCAAAAGGCAATACATCTCGAAGCAAAACCCAAATGAGATGGAAAACACAGCCTAGAGAATGTTTTCGCAAGTTCATCTGCACATATTCTTACCGTAATGCCTTGTGTTGATTGTATCATACAATGTATCAGAACATAACCCAAAATCTATTAGCTTATCCTACAGAATGGATTTCAAATGGAGGGCATCCAAACATATATACATCTAGATAGAGACTACTAATTTTGTTAGGAAATCCAACTTACAGCATCGAGTCTACACATTACAATCCAGTGAATCAATTCATAAGAGACAATTGCACATTCCTTGATGACCACAAACAAGTATAGACAAAACACGGAGAGATCAATGATTTCTGGAACAAATATAATACCATATTTTCCAATTTTAAAAAGAAATTTATCGGGAAAAAGGAAACACGTTATACAACTAGAAGATGCTTCTGATTAAATTTTAAACATACTTGAGGTATACGATAACTTACTTTCTAATTATTCCTCAATTTGCCTCCAAGTTCCTTGTTTTACTGATACTGAACAGAAACCACCAACGATAAGACTGTTTGGAAGCTTCGAGCTTTTATTAATTTCTTCCACTAAACTCTAACGGATGTAAAGATGTAACCAGAAAATGGGGTTATTTGATTGTCCTAAAAAACAAGTTCAAATTTCCAATAATTGTTTGTGTGTGAGAGCGTGAAAGAGAGAGTACCTGAAGGCTGAAGGTGGTCCGGCGAGGCTGAAAGCAGAGAGAGAGAGAGAGATGGGGGCTTCTAGTATAGGGCAATACATGGGCCTTCGTTGTTGGGTTTTAGGAATACTTGGGCCAACCTTTTTTACTGGGAAAAATACATTTATAAAGTATTTACTTTACACATTTTTAAAAATACAAAAATAAATTTTAAATTTCACAACTCAAGTTTTTTAATTTTTAATTTATGAATTAATAAATTATTAAATCAATTTATTATTAAATATTTAATTCTATTATAATATTATTAATCCATCCCACCTCCACCACCCCTACCACTTTGGGGACTATTCCGGCAACCGTTCCGGTCACAACTCATCTCCAACGACCGTTTCGACGACTCTCTGATTCCAGCGACGATTCTGATGACCATTCCGCCACCACTTTGTTTCGGCGACGATTCCAACTCCGACGAAAATTTTTAAGTCGCAATTCAAAATTTTCATAGGTCACAATTTATTTATTGGTCACAACTTGAAAATTTAAAACACAATTTGCTCATCGGTCACAGATCCCAATATTTATAAGTCACAATACTTATTTATGTAGTCACAATTAATAATTTTTAGGTCACAATTAATAATTTTTTGGTCATAGATAACTAAATACTTGGTTACATACCACCAACAATAACCACTACCATCGCCGCCCCTGCCACAAAACCGCCACCACCTCACGGCAACCAGTACCAACACCACCTTCGCAACAACCAACACCCGACACAAAACACCACTACTACCACACAAGAACACTACCACCACTGTCGCATCCAACCACACAAAGCTGCCGCCGGATGGCTATCAACACAACTGCCGCCATATCTGTGACAAAAACCATCAAAACCACCACCATTCGCGAACTGCAGCGGCGTCGAACGGCTGCGTCGTGATGCTGCCGCGAACTACAGCAGTGTCGCGACACCGCTACTGTGAGATCGCTGCTGCAAACTGCAACAGCAGCGGCATCGCCAAGTGCAGCGTCGACGCTGTCGCGAACTGTTATACAGAGAGAGGAGACGAATCTAGGCCGGCATCAGCCGTGGAGACGAGAGAGTGAGAGTTGTAAAGAGAATGAGGAGAGGAAGAAGTCGATGCCAGTGACTATGGCGACGGTGGCGGGGCGTAGAGCAGAGAGACGGGAGGAGGATGAGAGTGGAGGGGGCGACGGGCGGTGAGGGAAGAGAGGGTGGATGGGAAGAAGTGGTTGAAATTATTAGGGTTTGGTTGGGGTCAATTTCCTTTTATCGTATATAGATATAAAAATAAAAATAAAAAATATTTTTAAATTATTAAATAAAACCTGATTTTTTTGAAATGTTGAACTTGTTATTGGATTTGTGAAATTGAAAATCTATTTCCAGGTGTGGGTGTAATTTCTTTTTTTTTTTCAAATGAAATTCCTCTCCTCTTCTCTTTTTATTTTTTATTAGAAACAATTTACAAATGCATTAAAAACTTTATTAATTTCAAACTTTTTTATCCTCAATACACTGTTTATTTATTTTTTGAATTTTATTTTTTACGATACATTTTCTAACAGTGTGTTACACTATGTAATATTGTGTTACGTAAGTTCATAACATGTTTTTATTGTAACGAAGTATGTTAAAACGCATTTGGTCGCTTATTTCTATATCCTCAATTGGCATCATCTCTACAACTTTTAAACTTCAGTGTTATATCACCATATATAACATTTATAATTATATCATGTCATCACAATCACTTGTAACATTCTTGGTTACACCACCATCGTCGCAGTCATCGTCACTAGTGACATTCATTATTAAGCACTTGCATCATTGCAACACGACTTACCAAACCCTTTACAAATCGAATCTTCGCACCACTGTTGCTGTTGAGATTGTAAACGATTTTATAAAGATACCAAATTGATGTTCTTTCCTTATAGAGAAGATTGTATAGGTGTGTAAAAATCATAGAGATTGTATAGGCAGATTTCTAGGGATTAATTGGGGGATTCGAACCCTATTTATAATCTATTTTTCATCAGCCTATAATGAATGAGAGAAACACCAGTCTATCATATGTGATTTCATATGATTTCATGGTATCAGAGCCGAATAAAGTTCTGAAAAACTCTGCAATCAAAACCCCGAAACTCATTCCTAAATTCTAACTCACAAACCCACAAAAAAAAAAACCCCCATAATCAGAAATCAAAACTAGATTTCAAACAAAGACCACCCAAAAGGAGCAACTCGAACTTACCTGTTGCTTGCCCATCATCATCCCGGCCAGATTACTGCAAATCCATCAAACACGACTGAGAAAACCAAACCAGAAACTATCACCCGCTCCAGTAGCCCACGCCATCACCAATCCGCGCCAGCGCCGCGACCGCTCCAGCAGTCCCCGCCGTCGCCGTCCACCACTGTAACTAGTTGACTTCATATTCTCCTTGTCTGTTGTTTCCATGTGGTAATTGTTCTTTTGATTTATTCAGCCCATTAAATCTATTTGTTAGGAAAGAATAAGTGAAAGTATTGAATCGTCTGGAACCAAATCCGTTCTAATTCTTGTTCAGTCTGAGGGTACCTTTAATGCAGGCATTTAACTTACCGAAACAAATTATGATGTATGGTCTCAATTGATGGAGATGCATATTGTTGTACGAGAAAAACTTTCCTACATCATGGGCAAATCTGGTCCACCTGCTGTATCGAATAAGGGGTATGAAAAATGGTAAGCTGAAAATCAGAAGGTGAAACGATGGCTTCTAATGTCCATGACTCCTGACATCATGAAACGCTATCTTCGTATACCCACTGCCCGTGAAATCTGGAGTGCTCTATCCAAAGCATTTTATGATGGTAATGATGAGATGCATGTCTACTCTTTACATCAGAAAGCCTTCTCAGCCAAACAAGGTACCAAATCACTCTCGGTGTACTATGGGGAGTTAACAGAAATATTTCAGGAACTTGATCATCGTGATAAAGTGGCTATGAAAGATCCTGATGATGTCACAGCATCTTGCTCTGGCATAGACGTTTGGGACATGCCTCATTTGGTTATTTAAGAAAGTTGTTTCCTAGTTTATTTATGAATTTAGACATTTCTATTTTCAAATGTGATGTGTGTGAACATGCAAAAAGCCATCGTGCCTTATTTCCTTTGATTTTAAATAAAAGTCATGTTCCTTTTATGGTTATTCACTCTGATGTTTGGGGACCATCCAAAGTTCCTACATTGGGAGGGTCACGTTGGTTTGTTACCTTTATAGATGATTGTACTCGGATGACTTGGTTGTGTTTGATGAAATCCAAATCAGAAGTTAACTTGTTGTTTCAGAAATTTTATAATACCATTCGTACACAGTACAATGCCCGAATACAAGTGTTACGTAGTGATAATGGTGGGGAATACCATAGTTTTGAACTTCAGAAATTTATGGAATCTCATGGCTCAATCCATTAAACCAGTTGTATAGATACACCTCAACAGAATGGTGTGGCCAAACGCAAAAATAGACACTTATTGGAGGTTGTTCGTGCTTCCCTCATTGATGCTCACATGCCCTTATGTTACCGGGGCGAAGCTCTTCTCTTTGCAGCATATCTCATCAATCGTGTTCCATCTCGTTCTATCAACTTCAAGACACCTTTCCAGACACTTGCAGAAATTGTTGTTGCTCCAACAGTCCCAAACCTCCCCCCTCATGTCTTCGGATGTGTGGCCTATGTTCATCTCCCCAAACACCAATGAAATAAGTTAATGCCTCGAGCCTTGAAATGTGTATTTGTTGGCTATGCTATTCATCAAAAAGGATACAGGTGTTATCATCCTCCTACTACACGCATGTTTATCACCATGGATGTTGCCTTTCATGAAGATACTATGTATTTCTCCAAGTTTGACTTTCAGGGGGAGAATTTTGAGGAAATTCAGACTCTTATATACCACCTTGAGGAAGATGTTGTGGAAGTATCTGATCAAAATGTAGGTAATTTGGATCCTAGTGGTTAAATCTTGGATTTAAATGGTGATACCCTACACAACTACACAATAAGCGGAGAAGTGGATGAGTTGGAGCCTAGTGGTCAAACCTTGGATCAAAGTGAAAATGAGCACCCAGAAAGCCAGGAAACATCTGAAATCGAGTCTGAGCCTATCCTAATTGATACACCAAACCAATCGTTGTCTGAGGATATTCCTTATATAGTACCTGAGTCATCCAGGAGACAGTTACCTCAAAGTCTCACCAGAGGTATTCCAAAACTTACATATGAACCTCAGTTGTCTAGTAAAGTAAGATATCCCATGAACCACGATATGTCTACACATCGCTTGTCACAAACAAATCAGTCATTTGTCAATCAATTATCTACTGTATCTATACCTAACAGTGTGCAGGAAGCCTTAACTGATCCAAGATGGAAAGCTGCGATGAATGAAGAGATGGCCTCCTTGCAGAAGAACCAAACTCGGGAGCTCATTGACTGATCCATAGGAAAAAAGCCAGTTGGGTGTCTTATGGAATTGACTACACTGAGACGTTTGCTCCTGTAGCCAAAATCAATACAGTCCGGGTCTTGTTATCCTTAGCTGGAAATTTTAATTGGCCATTACAACAGTTTGATGTGAAGAACGCATTCCTACATGGTGAACTCTCTGAAGAAGTCTACATGGATCTCCCTCCAGAGTGCATGGTAACAGAAAGACAAAAACAGAAGGTGTGCAAGTTGAAGAAATCACTATATGGATTAAAACAGTCCCCTAGAGCATGGTTTGGACGATTCACCAAATCTATGACAACCTTCAGTTACAAACAAAGCAATTCAGATCACACATTATTTTTAAAGAAGCAACATGGGAAGATTACTGCACTCATTGTATATGTGGATGACATGATCGTCACAGGCAACGACTTAGAAGAAATGAAAGCTTTGAAGGAGTACTTGTCCTAGGAATTTGAAATGAAAGACACCAGCTGACACTCCAATGGAAGAGGGTCTGAAGTTATGTATTGAGACAAGCCAAATACCCGTGGACAGGGGGAGATACCAGAGACTCGTTGGAAGACTAATGTACTTAGCTCACACAAGACCAGATCTCGCCTATGCTTTGAGTATCGTTAGTCAGTTCATGCAAATCCTGGTGACCAACATATGAATGCAATCATGCGCATTTTGAGATATCTAAAATTTGCTCCAGGAAAGGGAATTCTATTCTCTAAACATACAAACAAGCAAATATCGAGGTATATACAGATGCTGACTGGGCCGGAGCAGTTGACGATAAGCGATCAACTTCAATATACTTTACCTTTGTAGGTGGGAACATAGTTACATGGAGGAGCAAGAAACAAAATGTTGTTGCAAAATATAGTGCAGAAGCTGAGTACAGAGGAATGGCATTAGGAATCTGTGAAGCACTATGGTTGAAATTTCTCTTACAAGACCTAGGCTATTCCCTAAAACAACCAATTCAGCTATACTGTGACAATAAAGATGCATGTGATATAGCCCATAATCCAGTTAAACATGATCGTACAAAGCATGTCGAGGTTGATAGGTTCTTCATTAAGGAGAAATTGGATGAAAAAATTGTGGAATTACTAAAGATTCGGTCAGAAGATCAATTAGCTGATATCCTTACCAAAGGGGTATCCAATCGGGTATTCTCGAAGTTCTTAGACAAGTTGGGCATGTGTAACATCTATGCACCAACTTGAGGGGGAGTGTTGAGATTGTAAACGTTTTTATAAAGATACCAAATTGATGTTCTTTCCTTATAGAGAAGATTGTATAGGTGTGTAAAAATCATAGAGATTGTATATGCAGATTTCTGGGGATTAATTGGGGGATTCGAACCCTATTTATAATCTATTTTTCATCAGCCTATAATGAATGAGAGAAACACCAGTCTATCATATGTGATTTCATGTGCTTTCAGTTGCCACCGCCACCGTCACCATATTCGAACCCAATCTAAATGCCTCCATCACTGTACCAATAAACTTTGTCATTGTTGCCACTACTACCCTCGTAATCACCACCACAACCAATCAAATTTACCATTGCTGCCACTGCCACTTGATCATCTCTACCGCCGCCTCACTCACCACCACTACCACTATCTTTTATGAATCAAACTCACAAAACTATCAGAAGAGGGAATAAAACTCATTCCGTCCACCACCATTAGTGCTGACTCCAACCCCTCACCATTACAGTCGAACCACTAGACTTGGTAATCGAGCCATCCAATCACGTTTTTGCCTCCGCCGCCTTCCGCAGACGATATCTAACTTGGTTATGTTGTGTTTCTGTATGTGAATACATTGTGTGCAAAGTAAAACGTCAGTAATTGAAGAATAAAAAAGAAGTAATTGTATATTTGGAATTCAAAAGTTCCAATAGTGGCTGGCATAATTTTCCTATTCTTTTTTGTTCTAAAAAAATTATAATATTGCAACACTTACATAAAAATAATGCTCTTTTTCAAGATTTTAGAAGGTATGAAGGGACAGAATCTATATTTTTTAAAAAAGTAAATTGATTAATTTTCGTATTAAATCTAATTACATATTTATATTTGATCGAAATTTAGAAGTCCTTTTGTGTGATAAAAGAGAATCAATAGCCACTTCCATGTACTACAGAAGTAGTTTAGTCACACTCAATTGTTAGGCTTTTTGGTCGGTCTAAAGTAACCAACGGAAGGTTCTCACCCTATCTTAATATTGTTCTCCTACAAATTTCTATCTTTCTATTTTTGGTTGGTCTAAAGTAACCAACTGAACAAGATGTTTAGAATTAGAAATTTTAATTCTATACCATCTAGAACAATTAAATCATAGAAAAAAAAAATAGACACACAAGAGTTATAGAAATTCGTCTCAATGTGAAACTACGTACCCTTCAGTTGCTGCAGTAATTCACTAATAAAAAGAAATTTATAAAAAGTTTATAACCAGCAGTAAGTAAGCTTCACAACTTAACACAAGATACGTTGTTGATTTGTTTCATCCTACTATCTTTGCAATTGGGAAAGGCATGAAAAAAGAAATGGGTTTTCCCTCATTACAAAATGAAAAATATGATTGATCATCGATTTTTCCCTGTCCGTACTGTCTATGGCTATGAACAAACCATTTTTTTTCTCGATTTTACTCTATAGCATTGTCTAGTTCAACTGATCAAACGTGTCAACATTGAGTCATCGCAATCTAGCAACAAAAATTTATTCCTGCCGCAGATTAATTATAATACTTGCATCCCATTCATAGCAGATGAAGTGGTAAATTGGTAAGAATGCAACATATGTAAGACCAATTCCTGAATATTTCTTGGTCAGAAAATAAGTACATTAATCACTTGATTTACCCTATCGAAACTACTCCTCACATGCTGTAAAATCGATTACAAGGTAATACACAATACAACCTAGCAAATAAGCAGTTCTTGAAATGGTAATGTAAAATTCTCGGTCATAGACTTAGCAGAGATGAAGCTATAGGCTCCTTAATTTGATACGAACTTCCACCACTTATAGCAAGCAAAACCATAAACTAAGCTGTAGACAACCAATCTGAGAGGGTAGATCTTAAACCTGCATGAAACAAGAAAAATCAGTTAGTTAACTCGTATATACGAGGTTAAAGCCTCGACTTTTGAAATTATTGAGTTGAGTAAACTCGGAACCTCAGGGGGGTTGAGTTGACCCTTCAAGACAAAACTCGTGTATGATGAATTAGCTGCCAATACGTAATTGTCTTCTTCTTGGATTCGATAAGGTTCGTTCCAAGGGGTAGGGGAAGAATAAGGTAAGTATACGATCTCTAGACCACCAAGTTAAAATTTTGGACACTCTAACCGTAGAATCGACCCTTGGTGATTTCTATTCATTTTACAATCCGAGAAATGTAAAATAAGTAGTGGAAACAAGAGAAGCAAATGAAGGGATAAGACTTGATGGAAGAGGCCAATTCGATAAAAACTAACATCTTTCTGCTTCTCTTCTTTGAAACATATTTGATATGAATATAAATATACGCTTCATTCATTACTTCTTACCTAAATTCACGAATCAGGAGTTCATGATTGATTCTTGAAAGCAAAGTGTGGAACTCAATTAAGGGTCCTTTTGATAGGGTTTCGATTTCTGCTTTTGGTAGAAGAGCTTTTGGAGGAAATCATTTTAAACGAAGTTCGTAGAAATCTCCAAAAAATTAATTTAAATCTCCCTTTTGACTTTTCAAAATTCTGCCAAACACTGCTAATTCTCAATTGAACCCAAAGCATGCAAGTTTCTAGTAATCCTCAGTAAACCACATCAACACCTAACTCATTTGAGCTTTTCATAATGTCTACCTAAAAAATTTTACTAGAGAATTTCCAGTCATACAAGGACGAAACCCCNCCCCCCCCCCCCCCCCCCCCCCCCCCCCCCCCCCCCCCCCCCCCCCCCCCCCCCCCCCCCCGTCAAATGAAAAATTATAGTTGTTTTCAGCCAATTTGAGAGGAATTTCAATGAATTATGACTTAAACTATCCAATTTCAAGCATCCTTACGCAAATGCAATTGGTTTTTTATAGCTTAAACCATCAAATTTCAAGCATCCTTACACAAATGCAAATAATTTCTCAATTCTTCCTCACCTTGTTGGAAAACTCGGTTTCTGGTCAGTAGCTTGAGAACCCATATCAGGAATAGTTAGAGGGGTGCACCACTGAGAAACACTCCGATTGAAGAACTTCCAATCAGGCAAAAGCATACCACATATCACAAACATTCCGAAGAAGTAAGTCGCCACCATTTTCTGTAAAGAATGTGTATAGAGTCCTATCAACCCTATAATTGCAGCCAAAGAAATCATTGATGAGCGGAAAACGGCATCGTCCTTCATTGCTAGAGAAGAAGAAGAACAAGAAATGGAAAAGGATTGAAGATTTGGGAGTGTTTTCTTGCTTGAACGGCTGAACAAGTAGTGATGGAGTTGGTTGAGACTGCTTTCAATGCAACACTACTCTATCAAAATATGCATTAATGCAGAGGACCCAATTCCCATGTTATACCTATTTTATTTGGGATACGTCATTCCAAAAGTTAGTCGAAAATCGATTTTTTTTAATATACAAATTGAGTAATGTTATTTATTCAAAGTTTAAATAATTATCGACTTGGGTTAATTTTACAAATGGTCACTGAAGTTACAGCAAAATAACAAAATGGTCATTGAAGTTCGAAACTTGCATAAACGGTCATTCAACTTTCAGTCGCTTTAAAAAATGGTCACTGAGCAAAATAAAGGGACTTCTTTGTTCTAATTGAAACCCAATTTAACAAACCCAGGCTCCTTCAAAATTGAAGGGGCTGAAGTGAAAATCCCTTTTTATAAAACACAAAATTCACGTTTGAACTTGTTCTTGCAATTCCCTTTCATGAACAATTTTATTTAGATTTTCTTCAAAGCACAAGATCTGTTGATCACAGCACATAACCTTCTGCTTCTCAACGTTTCAATGTCGTATGCATCGCGTGAAGGAATTTGGGCAAAATTCAAGCCATTGATTTCATTGTTAATTGAAACAATATGATGATTACCCATGACCTTAAGACTGTCAATTGAAGGTTTGTTGGTTGAATTGAAGATTTGGGGCAGAAGAGATTCACCAAACCCGTGGGAACCAAACTTCTCGAAAAGACCGCGAAGTACAGCCACAAATTGATCGTGTTCAGAGCACAATTTTCCTTGACCCATACTTGGGCTAGGTGCGCCAGGAGGAGACAGTCCTAGCCTAAGTGGTCCGCCACCGTCATTCAACCGGACAGTGCCAGAATCAGCTAAAAAAAAACTGTTATTGCGAGCTCGCGACGGTCAATTCTTCTGGATATAATTCAGCCTGATGAATTGATATTTGGGCTAAATTGTTTACAAGGGTAGGGTCATCCAGGGCTGGGTTATCGGTCGGTGGATGACTCCGGCCAAGTAGGTGGCTGGAAGTTGAGATTCCGGTAGTTTGCAAAAAATTGGGCAGCGAACTTTGAGTTGCATTTTTGGCCAGATTACTTGGAGTTAGGGGAAGTTCTTGGGGAGAAATTGAAGAGGAGGTTATGCTCATTCCAACAGTAGTAATGTCCGGCGGTTTTGGAAGGCGTAGGTTGTCGGAATTTTGAAGAAGAAATTGATGATTAAGGTTGATTAGAAAAGGGGAATTGATGATATAGGATTTGCACTTCAGCCCCTCCAATTTTGAAGGGGCATGGGTTTGTTAATTTGGGTTTCAATTAGAACAAAGAAGTCCCTTAATTTTGCTCAGTGACCATTTTCGAAAGTGACTGAAAGTTGAGTGACCGTTTATGCAAGTTTCGAACTTCAGTGATCATTTTGTTATTTTACTGTAATTTCAGTGACCATTTGTGAAATTAACCATTTGTCTTTTATATGCAATTAAAAAGTGTTACTTTAGAACAAAGACGTCCCTTAATTTTGCTCAGTGACCATTATTGAAAGTGACTGAAAGTTGAGCGACCGCTTACGCAAGGTTCGAATTTCAGTGACCATTTTGTTATTTTGTTGTAACTTCAGTGACCATTTGTAAAATTAACCCTTATTGACTTATGTGGTATAATAATCATTGCCACGTTTTTTTATGTTTAATAAAAATATATTCAAACTTCATTGTATTAGTCACTGTCAATAAATCGATAATCTTTAGATTAATAGCATCATCCGATGAGGTTAAGCACCGTAAGTTCATAAAATAACTACGGTGCCTATTGGCCTAGAAATCTACTTACATTTCTACATTTCAGAGGTGGGTTGAAAAATGATTTTTTTTATATATATATATATAAGACTAAAAATTTCGTCTAGCCATGTTTAGTTTAATTTAAAAAGTTGATAAGCATCTAAATTAAAATCAATAATTAATTTTAATTTATATATTTCAAAATTTTTATCAACTTTTTAATCATATATTTCATTAACTTTTATAAAAATCGGTTTAAATTCTAATTTTTAACTAAACTAGGGCTAGTGCACTTATAATAACATATATACACACATTTTGCATGATAGCTTGTGCAATATGTTACGAATACAAACGTGTAGAGGGGATGATAATACAAATCTCTTCCACAAATGTGATTTTTCTCATGGAGACTTTGAGTCATTTAATTCATAGAAAAGTCTTTGTAGTCCAATAGACAAGTTAGGTTATCTAAACTAAAATTGTGACTTCGACTATAATTTATCCCAAGACGCACGATATAGGTGTGCAATCATGGTTTATTGAGGGAAAAAGTAGGTTATCTAAACTAAAATTGTGACTTCGACTATAATTTATCCCAAGACGCCCGATATAGGTGTGCAATCATGGTTTATTGAGGGAAAAAGCCATGGGTACAGAAAAATGTTGGCAAATTTTATCGATGCTGACTTGGCGATGCATGATTGACCTTTTTTTTTTTTTTTCCTTTCTCCATCTTTCAATGTTTTCATGTCATGTGTTATCTATCAAAATTTCCTATTCATGTAGCATGATTGTTTATTGAGATACTTAGGGAGAAATTATTGAAGAACAAAGAAATTGTTAGATAAGTGTTTCAATACTAAATACCAGATTTACACACTGGGTACCATATTTGTAGGATAGATATCGCATATATGCAATGAATTTAAACACTGAATTTCCACATACCCTTTTTGCATGTAATTTTGAATATAATGAATTCAATTATATAAAATAGATTTAAAGAGAACAGCAAAATATCAATATGCAAAAATGAGTAACAAATTAAACAGTAAAACTTTTAACCCGATGCACAGTTTTCTTAAAACAAATTCGCTCTCTTCACGTTTGTGCTTGAGGTTTAATTTAAACTTTTGTTTCCCAGGATACAACGGTAAATCTGTAGAGTCCGAGCACTGCAAATTCTACTATGACGAACTGACTTAGTATCTGATCAATATCATCACCAAGACCTTGACAGACAGTAAAATATGTATGCAGATAGAGGACAATGTCATGTGTTTTAGAACTATAATACAGACTGTATTCTTCATGTCTGGAATAGTGGAAAATGAGACTTTATATAGACTTAACCCCCATTAAATTGTTCATAACTTAATGGCAATAATCATTGGAGTTTTAGAAATCAAAAGTCAAGACAATAATCATTAGAGTTTCAGAAACCAAAAGTCATGGCAATAACCATTGGAGTTTCAGAAACCAAAAGTCATTTGTTGAAAGCAAAAATTGACAAAATGTAAGTCATCATAAGGAGCCAATTTTTGGTCAATTCAGTCCAACATTTGTATACGCGGGTCATGCCCACACACAAATTTAAGATCCGAAGCCTATTTCGGTCAATGATTTGCACCCCCCTCACACACGCATGTAGAGAGAGCATTTGTACTACACATAATTACATACTTCCAAAATAGGTCTTGTTTTTATAAACTTCCTATGTGGGATAAACTCAAATTTAGTTTTCCCTCCAGCATAAGCCATATTTCAATGATCCACTTTGAACTCAAATTTCTCATTAACTCGAGCTTCATTTTTAGCAAGTAAATATATGATTTCCATGTTCTCGCGGAGGAGAATATAAATCAATGTTGATCTTTCAAAATAGTCAAACGGGTTCCACTCAAAACCCATGCCAAAGTCAGCCACATACTTATTTTTCCAACAGAAATTGTATGTTGCAATCAAGTTGTTCCTTTTAATTTAGAATATGAACTTTTATAAATTATAATTATTAAATAACTATTTTCGAATTTTGAATATTCATTTCTAAATAGTTTTTAAATAAAATGTTGACATAGTAAACACAAATTTCTTATATCACGGGGAAAGATTGAACACAGTCTCACCTGTTGTATATTTAACTAGGAAAATTGGCAAAATTAGTCCCTAAATGTTGGCATTTCTATGCAAGAGGTCCCTAAATCAAGGCACTGCTGCCAAATGCCCAAAACAATGAAGGGCATTTTTTTGGTCCTAACACTATCCAACAAAACATACATGCTGGCATTTTTCGGCGTAGATTTTGTTAACCACCTTATGCTGGAATTTTCGTCTTTTGAAAGAATAATGTATCAGTTTAGCACCGGTCAATGTAGCAATGGAGCTTGCTACTTTGTTGTCAAGTGAATGAAACTATTGCTAAATAATTTTGTTCTGTTCAAAACCAAAACGTTGACGAATTTTAGAGTATCAACGATTTTAGTTTGATTTTACTGACGGAATATTATTCACCCCTAGCACACTAATGAAAGACAATGCACTATATACATCAAAGACTAAGTATAATGTGCCTGTTTGTTTGCCATTTTTCCTTCATTCTTAGAATTTTTTTGACCGTTGGTGGGCCAACCTAAGCCCCGCCATGGAGATGAAAATTCAAAAAAAAGTGACTGAAGTGGGATATCAACGATCACAATTCTCATTTTTGTCAGACAAATAATGCACAACAAACAGGGGCTGTATCATTTCATTATTATAAAAAGATTGAACGAGACAATAGTCTCTATAATTAGTCTTTTATATATATAATTGAAGAGCTTGATAAATCAATTCAATGAATTCACAGCAAATGGTACTATTTAAATAGTTTAAACCCTTTTTGATTTTGTTAAAAATCACATTTTAGTAGATTTCGATAAAAATAATAAAATGTATTGTTGAAAAAGTTATGAATCATATAAAATATACGATTGAAATTGAGTTCAATAAAAAATGAATTTTAAAATTGAAGGCAAAACAGAGACTAAATATAACTTGAAGAATTAAATTGTGCGTATCATTCTCATATGAAAATATAGTAAAGATGTGAATGTGTCCATTTATTTTGTGCATGTAGAGGGTGATAAAAATGAGAAATGCTACGTGTACACTC